CTTTAATAAAAAATAAAAAATATTTTTTAATAAGATTGCTTTGACAAAATAATGCAACAATTATAGTAAAAAATTGTGTAAAAATAAAGAATGCAAAAATAATTTTTTATTCTTGTTTAAATTTGACGAGAAGATTATTTTATTTTTAAATTATTTACTTTAAAATTGTTTAAATTTTATTTTCATTTTTAATTCATTTCTTTCAACTAAACACCTACAAAGTGAGAATGAAAGTTTCCCTTCTATTCCTTTCATTCTATTCTTATTATCGAAGTAATTTTTTTTAAAAAAAATCGTCAAGGGATAATAATTATAAGTATAAATCATCATTTGGTTACCAAAAAAATAAGTTTTGAAATGAGAATGCATGAATCAAAATGACATTTTCATTCTAATATTATGTTTGGAATAATAATAAAAAATCATAACGAGATTTAAAAATTTTAATATACGGCTTTTAAGACGTTTGAAAATAATGATTAAAAAATAATTTCATCAATAACGATAGAGATAAAAATGATAAATGTGATTGCGATGGTAATGATGATGTTAAAGGAGGGGGAGAAGGTGATGGTGATGGTGATAGTAATATTAATATAGTATCAATAATAATATATTTTAAAAAATTAATTTTATCATTATAGGAGGTGGTGGTGGAAGAAGAATGGTGATAGTGGTGGTATAATAGAATTTGTGATGGTGGCGAGTGGAGGAGGAGGAGGAAGAGTGGTGGCGAAATAATAATAATAATAATAATAATAATAATAATATTTTTACCATTGCTGCCAATAAGAAATGATGGTGCCGAGTGGTGAAAATAGTGATAGTGGTATAAGTAGTTGATACATAATATATTAAAATAATACATTATTATTTTTAACGAGAGAAAAATTTTATTCTTATTTATTATTTTTATTCCCACTTTTTATATAAGAATAAAATAATGTTTAATTTTTATTCTCATTATTTATTCACATTTTCATTTCATTCTTCCTAACCAAACATAAAAAAAATGAGAATAAACTTTCATTTTCACCAATAACATTTCATTTGTTATTACCAAATAACACCTAAGTAAACAAATATTATAGGAAAAGAGAATTCATTTTTCATTGAAAAGGAAACGCTTACTTGTACTATAAAATCACAAACTTTACACTTTTTAATCATTTTGACACGCTCTTTCAAAAATAAATGAAGAATACATGAGCTAGGCTTCGATAATCATATTAGCACGGGAGGTTTTTTTCGTCCAAAATTTTGAATTCATATGACATGTAAGATGTCACTATGGATTTCGATCTATATAGGATGACACGTTACTAAAAAATCAAAATTGAAAATAAATGGATGGCATGTCGTCCTACTAATCATATTTCAAAAATAAATTTACAATCGGTACAAACCCCAAATCAAATTCTAAAAAATCTTTAACCTTCTTCTCTTATCCGCCCAATGAACAAAGACCTCTAATCTTCTTTTTTTCACCGCCGGGAATGGCTTCTTTGTCGACTTAAATTGCAAAAATCTAGTTTTTGGCAATATGTCATTGGATGTGTGATTTGGAGTAGGCATCTAGAAGCTATCGTCCTGGAGAAATAAGTTCATATTTAAGCGGGATTTCCATCGTCCTTCCTCACCCAATGATTGTGTAACCACCATTGCTACTCATATTGGGGAAAGTCGTGAGTTGCATAGTAAGTTTTTTAAGTCTTTTTGTTAAATTGAAACCTAGATTCGAGTGTAATTTTCCTAGTTTTGTGTTTGTGAAATTGAGTATTGATGGCTTCTTTATGCCATTATGTGGCAAGGCTTTAGCAAAGGGCATTTTACATGATTATATTATTCATGGTTGGGAGGATTTGCTTACAATACTAGATGATGTTCTATCCTCTGTGTTGAATTTAGGGTATGTTTTTAGGTCTACGGTTTGCTTGGAGAGAGGATTATCACAAAATTATCGTGGAAGTCGACACAAAGTTGGCTATTGACTTGATTCTTAAACATTCAAATTTGGATAACTACAATTTGCAAATTGTTACTACCATTCAAGAACTTCTTAGCCGTTTGTGGTAAATTCATTTGCAATCACATTGATTATGAATTTTTTTTAAATAGGATTAGTGGGCGACATGCCATTCATTTATTCTTAATTTTGATTTTTTGGCCGCCTTGTCATCCTATATAGACCGAAATCTATGATGACATTCTACATGTTATGTTATATGAATTCGGATTTTGAACGAAAAACACTTTTTGTGTTAATATGGTTATCTAAAACTTAATTCGTGTATTTTTTATTTATTTTTTAAAAAACGTATCAAAATAATTAAAATATGTAAAGTTTGTGATTTTATGATATGAAAGGAAATAACTCAACCTATTTTTTGCATCCTATGTTTTCATAAATCTATCAAATAAATTCTTGTGTTTTCAATTAGGCCAGTTGAATAGTCAATTCAATATAATTTTGCAAAAAAATAATTTCTATATCTTAATTTGAATAAAAATAATAATACAATTGTATAGAGTGGGATACACATACCATATTTATACACATGTATATTATGTTGTATTCAACTTAACATATAAAAATTATCAATTTCGCAAAATCCTACTCAAATGATTGAAATTAAAAATATGCATGTTTAGTTGATTAAATTGAAAACACACATGCTAATTATCGAATTTGTAAAAACACATACCAAATACTCCAAATATTTTAGTTTTATTGAAAAAATGCCAACTATCTCTCACGTCTTACTTGAAGAGGTCAAATTGTTCCACACGCAATGTTAATAATCCCACGATGATTTTCTTAGGATAATCAAATACGCACTCCAAAAATTTTGGCTTTATAGGATAGCTATCCACATCAATCATTATCAAACTTTGAACAATCATTAATACTCAGGTCAACAAATATACAATTGTTTTTTTCAGAAAAAAAGAGCAAACCCCTCTTCTTGTAAACTAATGAGGCGGGCGGATTCCAAAGAAACAAAGGAAGCAGGAGGCGGAGGTAGGAGGATATGGAAGCAGAAGAAGTATTTATAGAGATGGTGAAGATTGGGAATATAGGATCTTAAGGATGCATAAAGGCTGGTGACATAAATGCAATAGGTTCTGAACTTTGTTCTTAAGAGAGAACCCTAGGCTCGCCAATTTCTCTCGGTCTGTTTTATTTATTTATTATTTATTATTATTATGGATAAATCCTTTCAGTTTGCATTGCTATCGTCATCATGATCGTCATTTTGGTTTAACCACAAGCAAAAATATAATAAAATGATGAATTTAATCAGTAAAAAATATAGTCGTAGCATGTGTCCTAAATTCCTGTTTATTTTTCATAATATATAATTATGTAAAATGCATTGTATTTGTATATATCTCTTATAGAAAAGAGCAAACCCCTTTAGGAAAATTTTGGTACTTACCATATTTTACAAGGATAAATAGCCGTTGAGGAAATTAACGTCAACGGCAACAGAATGGGAAAACCTAATAGATAATCCCACGTCATTTTTTGACCGTTGCTTTGAATGCCCCAACGTCAGTTTGTCATTGCCATCGTGAGTAACGCCGGCACGAAGCCGCACACACACGTGCTCTCACGGACACAAAACAAATTTGACCAACCTCATTGGACAGCCTAAGCAAACAGGTCCCACTTTGCCTACTTGGCGAAATCCCATTTGCTCTACATGGACACATCAGCATCCACCTACCACCTAGACCAAAAAAAAATGCCAACTTAACGCCACCAACAACGCCTCCGGCGGAGAAATAGAATACAAAGACAAAAACGAAACTACAACCCAGTCCTCCAATCATATATGTAATTCCATTCAAGTTTTTAATATTCAAAATCAAACAATTTTATCATCGAACATAACATACACTTCTATACATTATCCTCGCTTTACATCGATTAAAAAAGAGTAAATCAATTCTTGAATCATGCATACTTTTATACATGTCAAAACAAAAATTATTATCATACCAAAATCAAATGCCAACAACAAGTGGTAACAAATAAATAAAATCACATGTGTTTAAGATATTTGTAAGAATTAGGTTTCAAAAAAATAACTTAAATAAAAAACTATTTTATTTAAGATTATCTTAATTTGGTTATTTTTAGAGATAAAAGACTCAAGTGTAAAGTTATTAATAAAAATACAAAAAATAAAAAAATAAAAATTATGTCATCAACTTTAAAATCGTTATATTATAAGTATCAATTGAAATTATCGAATCAATAGTTGTTGTTCATGAATTGATACCAATAAGCGATATGTGTATAATAATATGATTTTTAAGGCTAATTATATAATGATGGTGCATGTTCTTAAATTCCTTTGCATATTAATGAATGAGTTGAATTGGATTATATATAATATTTAACATTTTATTATATCTTTTTTTTAATCAATACTCTTTACCTATTACAAATCTTATTACTTACTCATCATGTAAGTTGGCTAGAAATAACAACTAAAAAAGAAGTAGACAATGGACCTCCTCTAGTTTTTTCTCTCGCAGCATCTTATGTATCCTTTATTCATGCTTTTTAGTGCAATTCAAACATGATTCATGACAAAAAAAAAAAAAAAAAAAAGTAATTTTGTTTGGAATTTAGAATTTTGAAAACCGAAGTGAAAACACTTTCTATAGTTACGAGACTGATTTGTAGTTTTCCATACAAATATATAATATTTCTGGCTCTGGTTTGCCCACAACGGTCCGCCAGCTGACGTTAGCATCTCTCGCCAGCAAAGACCATAAATTCTGAAACCACATGGATTCTACCACGTGTACTTAAAACTCTCCCGCGTCTACTATCCGTTAAACCTTAACGTTAACTCCTCTCTCTCTCTCTCTCTCTGCAACTCTCCTCTTCGTTGAAGAAGGGAAATAATAATAATAATAATAAACAAGATCAAGAAATTTTTCTGTTCTTGATTCAAAGAAAATAAAAAGAAGAAATTCAAAAAATGGGAAAGTTGTTCTGCGATTCAACGACAGCCGTTGCCGAAACAACATTTCAAACACCAACATCACCGGCTGTTCATTGGAGGGACGATCCAAAGGCCAACGTAGATCTTGCAGAACAGGCTCTAACCATCGCCGCACAACCTACGTGGGAAGACGTGATTGGCTTGGAAGACCAGCAAAGACGCCACTTACAAAGGCTCCAATCCAAAGGTGTGCTCTGGAAGCACCCCAAGAACGACGATTCGTATCCGGCTGTGGTGTTCAGTCTGTCGCACGGGGGAGACGTTTCGGCGGACGGGAACTGCCTGTTCACCGCGTCGCAGAGGGCGATGGTGGCGCGTGATATGGACGCGCGGGAGTTGAGGAGGAGGACGGTGAGGAGGTTTGTGGAGGACTTTGGATCTGTCGGTGGGGAAGAAAGGGAAGTGATAAATGATGCTATAAAGCATATGTATTCGCCGGATCTGAAGAACGGGTGGGGTATACACGTCGTTCAAGAGGTTAAGCTCCTAGCCAGGAAAGAAGATCGTGTTGCTTTAGATTCTGCTATCTATGAGCTTGTTCTCTTAGGGATTCAAAGGTAATTATTTCACTGTCTCTTTCTCTTCTCTTCTGTTTTTTTTTTTTTTCTTGTTTTTAATTAAAGATTTGAGTTTGTAGTTCTGAATTTTTATGTTATATTATTTTCTTGAAAGAAAATGGAGGGTGTTATTGAATCGTGGATTTTATTGCAGATGATTGTTTCTAATTCTTTTTCTTTATTTTTGTGATTTTTGTGTTAGGAAGAATATAAAAATGTGAGGGCTTTTTAGCTAATGTAAAACGACGAAAATGAAATGTTAAAGGTTTTGTCAATGCATTTTATTAGATCTGTTTGTTTCTGGTTGTAAATGGCAATTAGGGGTTTAGCTAATTGAAATGACAATAATGAATCATCAATGTTTAGGCTCAAGATACGACGAATGAAAAAATATTTGCTTTATTCTATTTTTTTGATTGATCGTTCATTTTTGAAAAGTGAAGTGTGTTATTGAAATGATGGTTTTTATTGCAGATGGTTGTTGTTGTTGTTTCTGCTTTCTTTTTTATTAGAATTTATTTTTGTGATTTGAAGAGAAATGGCGGCAGAATCAATATACAAAGAGAGGTGTATAGCTGTGAATGCTGGCCTGAGTTTTCGTAGGGTGCTTGTTTGATCTTGCATTTCATTCCAAAGCTGGAATTAGTACCATTCTGTTGTATCTTGAGCTATTCAACTCAATGAAAATGAAATGTTAAAGGTTTTGTCAGTGCGTTTTATTAGATCTGTTTGTTTCTGGTTGTAAATGGAAATTAGGGTTGAACTAATTGAAATGACAATAATGAATCATCAATGTTTAGGCTCAAGATACGACGAATGAAAAAATATTTGCTTTATTCTATTTTTTTGATTGATCGTTCATTTTTGAAGAGTGAAGTGTGTTATTGAACTGATGGTTTTTATTGCAGATGGTTGTTTTTGTTGTTTCTACTTTCTTTTTTATTAGAATTTATTTTTGTGATTTGAAGAGAAATGGCGGCAGAGTCAATATACAAAGAGAGGTGTATAGCTGTGAATGATGGCCTGAGTTGGGCAAAATACATGTCGATCTCTGGTTCCCATGATGATGAATATGATATCATCACTTTACAATATACTGAGGAAGGTTTATTATCTGTAGATGAGAATAGAGAAGGTCATGCTGCAGCTTTTGGTGATGATATTGCAATAGAGTGTCTTGCAACAGAGTTCAAGCGTGAAATATATGTGGTAAGGACTAGATTTTGGAAGTTACTTTTGCTCTCCCTCTCTGTTCTTTTTTTTTCTTTTTTTCCTTGTGAATCAACGTATCTATTTGATTGTTTAGCCAGCTTTTGGTTTACATAAGGCTGTAATACACACACACACACACACACAAGTATCTTCATGATGTTAATGGTGTGCGCGTGGAATTACGGTGAATTGTGACTGAGAAGCATGATTGTAAAATTCATGTTGTTCTCAATGGGTTTCTAATTTTGTTGTGCTTACCTTATCAATGAGTTCTTCATGTTGTTCTCAATGGGTTTATTTGAACCATTTGGATGAAGCCTCATTATGAGTATCTAATTGGGTTATTTAGGTGAATGCACAATTTTCCAATCTGTTACGAAATGAATATTTGCAGTTAGTAATTGTAGATTGCTAGAAAATCCACCCCACCCAAAAAAAAAAAAATCTCAAATACATTTTTAAGAGTATCTGCCTTTTCTCTTACTAATAATACTTTACTGAGATGCTACTGGATGGGGACTGTAAGTTGGATAGCTATTGCATATTCCATGTGTGTTTAAGCAAGCTGCAAGAGAGGTTATCTTACCGTTACACTTTTTGGAAGTGTTTTTCTGCTATTCTAGTATCACCTTCCTGTCTGTGATGTCTCTTCACATATATATATATATATATATTCAATTTCTTATGGATCTAAAGTTTTATAGGGAGTTGGCAGCATATATCTTTTTGGTCTTGGAGACAATGTAAAAACTTACTATATTACTATATTACGAACACTCAAATTTTATCACTAAATCTGACTCGTAGGAGTTGCCATTGTTTCACTTCAATGTTATATAGTTTTCATTAATGCATAAAAAAGGAATATAAGAAAAGAAAATACTCTGATTCCCTTGCAAGTATGTATTGCTGTTGTTTCCCGATTGAGATCAATTGATTGAGTCTATTCATCATGGGTTATTATTGTTAGACAGTTCCAATTGTAATAGGTTATTTTTGGTTTTGATTTAGCCTTCTTCTTCTGCACAAACATTTTACAGGTGCAAGCACATGGATCTGATGCAATGGTTGACGAAGAAAATTGTGTCTTCTTTCTCCCACATCGTCCGAGGAGTGAAATTTGTGAACCCCCTTCTTTCTCTTTATGAAAGGAACAGGTAATGAAATTTTCATAAATCTGTTTAGCTAACTTTAGTTTCTGGCTATAGAATTAAATTTCATTGTTACTGCATAGGCTGGTGTGGTGCTGGCGCTGATCACTATGAGCCTTTGATTGCTCATCCAACTTCACTTGTTTCCCAGGAGAAGGTTGCTGTAGTACTTTGAGGGCATTAGTCCTTCAGTTTTGCGACGTAGAGAGGTTGAATAGAAGTAGCTGTATTCTTTTTCCCTCACAGTGTTTTAGGCTTGCAATGTTGGTTCTCCTGATTCTTTTTCCAGATCTTCAGGAGGGTATGATTGCAGGACATTCATTTTTTTTTTTTGTTAAGATCATCTAGCATTGATCAGTTGACTCGCAGGTTCAATACCTGCACTTGAGCAATCTTGTAGTATTTGTATGGGTTTTGTCGGCTTTTGTTGCTGTTGTTGAGTTTTCGTAGGGTGCTTGTTTGATCTTGCATTTCATTCCAAAGCTGGAATTAGTACCATTCTGTTATATCTTTAGCTATTCAACTCAATGATAGAATCTGCGAGTGAAAATTTTTTTCAGCTCATCTTTAGTTTGGCTGATTAATTTCGTCTATGATAGTTTACTGTCTGAAAACTAGCTGGGGGTAAGTGTTAAAATTGTATTCAACATGGCTGAAGTGGTTCTGTGTTGGATCAGATCAGTTCTATATAAAGAAAAACAGCTATATCAGGCTTGAGTACTATTTTATTGCATTAGTGACAATCTTTCTCTATTGGCAGAACGTAATGTGCTTTATAGCGTCCAGCTCAGATAGCTCTCGCGATTCTGTAAGATTCATTCAGTCAGGAATAAATGGCTGAAGATGCAAAAATGTATTGTGACGTTACATGATGTCATAAAACACTGTAAGAAAAGCAATATAATTATTATAATTTGTCCAAGGTCCTGTAAAATTCACTGATTAATTTGTGACTGCAATAATCAGCTTCACAAGGAGGTCATGATTCAAAGATACGAAACAATTACAGCACTAGTTGCTTTGCCATGGGATAAATAGTAAAGTTAATTTAATTACTATTACTATTATTACTATTACTAATAATACTAAAAGAAAATGTGAAATCATTGTAGATTTACTATTCACTTAATGTACAATGTTTCTATATTTGTTCACCTCGCGTTGTGTGTGATTACTAATAATACTAGAACAAAAGGTGAAATCACTGTAGATTTATTTTTTACTTAGAATATATCATCTCTACTTTTTCCATTGTTTGCACCAAAATGTGCACTCTGTTTTTTTTTTTTTAAAAAAAAAAACATATTTTTCTATCCACAACTTTTTTCTTTCATTTTGGCCCTTGTGTGCTAAAAAAAAAAAAGAGAATTGAGGGGAGAGAGAGAGGGTGGCGAGGCCCAATCCAACCACCATGACTATTGAATTTACCATCAATTTATTTGTCTCAAAAAGTAGAATCTTATTATGGTGATAACAAGTTATAAAATAATTAGAGAAGATAGATCGGAATTCAAAAATATTTTAAATTTTTTATTTTGATTTAAATTTTTGTGTGTGTTTGGGTGCATTAAAATGAGTATTGAGGTACTAAATAAGTTTGTTTATGTTATTTATGTGATTTTAAGATTTTTTTTTACTAAAATTGAGCTGAATTTTGTTTTAGAATGCCAAAAATTAAGAAACCTCATTTTTTGGCGACTTTTCCAACGAAACCAATCTTGCCAAAAAATAGCAGAGGTCATAGAAAGTTCAAAAGAGAGAATTTTTTTCGGCCTAGACCCATGCGGGCTTGGAACTCCAGGTCTAAGGGCATGGGAGGCCTGCACCTTGTTTTTTTTTTTTTTTTTTTTTTTTTTTTTTTCCCTTCTTTTCTTTAATTTTTTTTAACTAAGAATTTTTAGACAAAAATTATGGAAAATAGAACATTATTATTAGTGTTTTTTACGTAGCATGGGAGTATAAAATATATATACTATCTTTTTATATTTTAAAATTAACATATATTTCAGATTATATTATTCTTATTATATAAAATTTATTATTTAAATTTGTCATTTCTTATGAAAATCTCTTCCAATTAATTTATTTTTAATAAAATTTTATTTTTTGACAAATATAATTTATTTTTCTCTATGTTTAATTTTAGAATTAAATTTTAAAACATGATTATAGATCTTGACATACAACATCAACTATTTTCTATGAATATATTTTTTATATAAATATTTTTTTTGAAATAAAATAATTAAAATAAGTTTTTTTTTAAAAAAATCAGATAATTATTCAAATACAGCTTTTTGTACTAAATTTATCGATTATTTTGAATGTATGTATAAATATATCAAATGCATATACTTTCAAAAAATAATCTTTTTATCAGCATTGAAGAAGAATAAAGTTTTATTAGTTATTTTTTAATAAAAGGGTATACATTAATTGTAAATTTTTTTTTTAATACAATTTTAAAGTATTTTTTTTAAATTTTTTTAATTATTTAGTTTAACATATTATAAGTTTTTATTTAAGAATCAATACATAAAAAAAATCATATATTTTTTTTAAGTTGAAAATTTATAAAAAATATAAAAATTAATAAAAAATTATAAAATAATTTTGTTGTGCCCGACCTGTAGTGTAGCTCAGATAGTCGATTAGTCTATTCTAAAATCATTGAGACTTTTTTTGGCATTGCAAAATTTAAAGAGAAAAGCAAATAATGAGTTGGTGTAAAGATAAATGAATTCTTTGTACAGTATTTATATATGAAATTAAAAATTCGAATTTTGTTCATAATAGCATATACTTAATGGTATATTTACATTTTCACGTATTATTATTTTCAAAAATACTTTAATTGAGTTTCAGTTTCAACATAAGTGTGGTAAAAACTTTCCAAATAAAAGAACGTTTTGTGCTTTAATTTGTGAACTTCACAATGAGTTATTTTGATCAATGAGATCCACAAAAATTAATTTCTCATTACATGTTCGATTATCATGACATTTATCCTCAAAATAATAATAAATTTATCATGTCATTGACAATTAACAAAACGCCTTCTGCGGCTGCTGCTTACTGTTGTACCCTAAGCTAATTTTTCCTACTCTCTTGCTTTTTGACCTTTTTTATTTTGTTGGAGTATTAAATGCTGGCAGTTGATGGCTCTGTATTTTTTTGTCCTCAGTTTTTTTTTTTTTTTTGGTTTCACTTTCAATCCTTCTGAGCTCCTTTTTTTTTTTTTTTGCATTAATTTATTTTAATTTTTATTATTATGAATTATAGGGAAAAATTATGGATGATCGATTGTATTTTTTGGGGTTTTTAAACAACTTGGAGATGAAAAATATATATGATATATTTTTATTTTTCAAAATAAACATATATTTCGGATTATATTAATTTATTATTTAAAACTTATTCCTTCAATTTGTTATTTCTTGTGTAAAATCTCATCGAATTGATTTTTGATTTTTTTATTAAATTTTATTTATAGATAAATATATATTTTTTTATCTACGTATGAATTTTGAAATAAAATTTTAAAACATTATTATTATTATTATTATTTTAAAAACTTATTCCTTCAATTTGTCATTTCTTGTGTAAAATCTCATCGAATTGATTTTTGATTTTTTATTAAATTTTATTTATAGATAAATATATATATATCTTTATCTACATATGAATTTTGAAATAAAATTTTAAAACATGATTATTATTATTTTTTTAATATAAATGATATAATTTTGAAATAAAATTTTAAAACATGATAATTATTTTTTTTTAATATAAATGATATAATTTATATGATAGATTCTTGAAATTTTGAATTATAACTCTACATGTGAGGCTTGAGCGGCCATATATGGCCTAAAAAAATATTTAAGAAGAAACAAAAACGATTTTATATTTTTTATTAGCTATTTCTTTATACAATCAAAACTTATTGAAATGAAATTTGTAATAGTTTTTATTTTAGTCTATTAACTTTAAATTTATTCAATCTATTACTTGCTACAAGTTAATTTTTTTTTTATAATAATTTTGTTTTATGTTGCAAACTATAGAATCCACTCAACAACACAAAACACAGACCTTTACTATTTATTTATTATTTATTGATATTATGGAATCATTTTTTTTTCAAATTAAATAATTAAAATTGTGTTTTATAGAACCAATCAATTATTCAAATACATTTTTTATTCTAATATTGCTGATAATTTTATATCAAAATCAAATATACGAGACTTTCAAAAGTTAATCTTCTCATCAACATTAAATAATAATTAAATATATATTTTTTTGTTTATTTTTATGCAAGTTCTTGCATGAATTGTTATTTTCTTTTAATGAAACAGTTTTATAAAAATAATATTATGATTTTTTATATTTCATGTTAAATTTTCTTTTTTAATTATCACAATTTTTTAATAAAAAATCATGTATAAAAAAGAAGAAATTGCTTTTTGGGTACAAAAATTATAAAAAAACATGAGAAATCATTAGTGAAATATAAATTTTTGATTAAAAAAATTATAAATTTGAATAATTTTTTTATATATTAAATTAATATATTTTTGTGCACTTATAATATAGCGCAAACCATGAAATGATGTTGAGCAACAAACTAGTTTCACTTTGTGGCATATAAAGGCATCTCTTTATAGCCCGATGCTTTTGCTAAGTACCCATAAATAAATTGTGGTTGGCGACAAAAGCATCAACTTTTGCACGTCATCCTTTCTTCTAAAGCTCTTCTATGAAGCTTCATTAATCTCAGAATACTCCCCCTTCATGGTAAACAAGGTTCCCTGGGGAATCTAAGAAAATTTCCAGCTTGCAAAAGGAAGTGTTTTGCCAATTCGTTGAACCTATAACATCTTCAAATGAAAAAGGTAACTAGCACATTTGTTTTTCTTTGACAAGGAAGGTTGTGTCTAGAGAGGGTTCTTGTTGCTGGTAACTTTAACATAACCCGCGAAGGTTGACATCAAGAAAAATCATGGTATTGCCAAACCAAATCCACCATCCAGGCATGCTTTGATTTGATCACCTCATGTGGTAGCTTCTTTTAATAAAGCCACTGCCCTGTATTTCCTATCGAAGTGACTCCAAACTACTCCGCCTTTTAAACTTTCCACTTTTCAATAATTGTAGTTTATGATGAATTAA